GTCTCATATTCTCTGTTGTTCGAAAATGACAGTGTGAGAGAGTGAGACAATACCTGAAAAAAAAAAACAGGTAACGAAAACTTCATCGATTTAACAACAATGACGGATTTTTAATAACAATTACTTTTGGGAGATATGTACAGAGAGGGGCAATATTGCCGTTTTTTTACAAATTTTTATGCGTTTTTGCAAAAATGAATGCAAAAACACATATTGTCGAGAGGTTGTCTGTGTGTGTTTGTTCGAAAGCGAGTGAACTTTGTCAGTAAATTTCAGCTCGGCAATAAGAATGGAAGGCTGAAATTGTAGGGGAATATTCTCACTCCATCTACCAAAATCGCGTTTCAAAATTAACACTCATACACACCTAGATCTAACGTACGAATGCTTGGAAAAAGAGGTGAATTTTTTGGACGGAAGACGATCTTGGAAACCAGTAAATATAAAAGCCGGAACTTTGAGGGGATATTCTCTGTGCATGAGTGACCTATATCCTCGTTCCCTTTTTTACCTTATCCCAAATTCTGCTAGCAAAATAACATCTGAGCACTTTGGAAATAAACAATTCCCCCCCCCCCCCTCCTCCCCTTACTCTGGGCATTCGCTGCGAGAACCAAATATACGTGATATAGCCACCCAACAAAGGAACTACGCCACGCAGCCACTAAATTCACCTACCTCAGCCCCTCTCCCCCTTCTCGTCTCGAACCATTGAACACGAAACTCACAGCATCCACTTCTCCTATCCATCTGCCGCATCGAATATTTACGCCACTTACCGTAGGGCAACTTTACCCGCCATCACTAAGAAAAATTTTTCGCAACTCGTGCATGATGCCGGCCTGGCCGAACCCGGCCGAGTTCTAGTAACTGCCCACGGTTGCGGTACGCAGGTCATTTCACAACTGGCACTGTGCTAACTGGAAAACTAGCCGGAAAACAATGAAGAAAAATTTCGCCAGAATATTTGCTGTCCATTTGGGTTATAATTTCAATGTAGCCAAATCAAGACATACATA